GCACCTTAGATAAAACATATAGATACAAATATCTATATACCACATTTATCTGCACAGTGACCTTTATCTTGTACTTATCCTCCCTGTAATGAACTTGGGATGCTTTGTATTAGCTTGTGCAGTATGCTGAGATGTTCCATCTGGAGTAATAGATTCTTGTTGTCAGAAATGCTGATTAGATAAACTTGCCCTGTGCTGCTTACTTCCTTGCTTACTTGTATCTTGCAAGTCATCTGACCTTGCAGAGATTGCAGCCAACCATCAAACAGAGATCTGAGATAAGAAAATCACCCAGGAGAAACAGTGCATACCTCTGATTCCTTCTGGAAGTAGGAGAGCTTGAATGGGAAAGAGCAGGAGGGGGGAAGGAGCAAACTAGCACTGGTCTTGATTTCCTTCTCCAAAAGTGTATTACCCACTAGAACTGCATGGCAGAACACCCTGGCTTAAAACTCCTCTAAACAGAACCTTTCTCCGTTTCAGGTCTTTGAGACACATGGCTCTTCCAAAAATCGTCAACAGATTACACATATGAAACCTAACTTGACTTGCCTATTTAATCAAGTAAGAAAAATATATTATGCACACAGCGTGCCCTTTTGTTAGGCATAGAACGGCAACTGCCTTTGGCAACAGATCTCGAAGGGAATCACATGGCCACTGCCCTCTATTCGGGAGATAGTGTTGTGTCTGTTGTGTCTCTCGCACAGCCTGTCCTCCAATGTACTGAACTCCTGCCCTCAGGTATGCTTCTGGATCCTGCAATTCAACTGGTGGCCCAACTGCATGGAATGGGCATGGAGTGGAGGACATTCTTTGTCAGGCATTCTCCCTTTATCCACTTCCTTGCTCCTGCTTTTCACCTTCTTTTGCTCTCTGTCATTCAGAATCAGGATTTAGGACCCTGGCTAATCAGGTTCTAAATTGCGTTTGAAACCTATAGGCATATAGTAGGCTCCCCTGCAGAGAATGAACTATTGTATTAACTTAGTGAACAACGAAATCTAATATGTATTCACAAAGGCTTTCACGGCCAGGATCTAATGGTTGTTGTGGGTTTTTTGGGCCCTTTGGCCATGTTCTGAAGATGCCAGCCACAGAGACTGGCGAAACGTTAGGAAGAACAACCTTCAGAACATGGCCAAAGAGCCCGAAAAACCCACAACAACCATGAAATCGAATATACTTTTGTTTGTGTCAGACAAGATAAATCTTTAATATAACCATTAGTGTTAATGTTAATTGCATAGAACTGAGAGAGATGATGGGTGATACTTTGGTTGACACCATGGTCCCCAAGCATTGTTTTTGACTTAAAAGTGCTTTCTTGCAGTTAAAGCTGCTTTCTCGAACCTAATACTTCCCAGATGACTAGGAATTTGCAGTCTACCACATCTGGAATGTGGAAGGTTGGGGAAGGTTGTCCCAGAACCTAATGTCTAACAAGCTGAGTGGTTAAATTTTGCCATATCTCTTCTCTCTAGCCATGTGAGGGTTCCTAGGTTAGAAAATCCCCTCTTCTAGAGATTACTAAACCAAAACTTGAAATCAGTCTTGTTACGTCATAGAGATGGGGTCTCATAATTTCACAGAGGCAGAGCTTTGCAAGGGTTGAGAGAGGTCCAGAACTGCTTCTGGGTCAGGTGGCTGTAGAAGTGGACATGAGGGGAATTAAGATAAATAGGCCTTCAGTCTGGATAAAATTTAACTACCTCGGTAACACAGCAACACAGAGGCAGTGAAGAAAACTTTTCTTTATTTTTTGCCCCGACCCCTTGCAAATGGCAAACGCACCCAGGAACTGTTGTAGTTACTGCCATTCCCACTAGGCCTCACATTCCACACAGCACATGGAGAGTTTCTCTAGAGCAGTGGTTCCCTATCTTGAGTCCCCAGATATGCTTGGACTATGACTTCCAGAAATCCTGGCTAGCTCAACTAGTGGTGAACGCTTCTGGGAGATTTAGTCCAAGAACATCTGGGGATGCAAGGAATCATTGCTCTAGATCCTACACTGCTAGTAGGGCTTCTGGAAGATTTGCCATCACTGCTGCCCCCATGCACACACCTTCCAAAACCAGGAATCCTACTAATCTACACTTCAAGAATATGCATATAATCTTTGACTGAAATCCAGTAGTAAGCCAGTATTCAAATAGGCACTTTGAAACAATTGAAGTTACAGAGGAGTTGACTTTCAGAATCCCCACTGATTCAATGGGCCTACTCCAGTTTCAACTTAGTACTGGGTTTCAGTCATTAAGTCACAATCTGGATACCTTTAACTCAAAGAAAATCTCATTTCTGTTTAAAGAAAATGCATGCAAATCCAATAACCTAATAACTATCGGGTAACTTATCAGAGCATTGACCTGCAATAAAAGGAAGCTCGATACAAGACCTTTGTAATCATCCATACAGATGTTTATGGATAAAAAGGATAAGAATCAAGATAACATAATGTGACTTCTTCCATCTCAAGCTGTAACCTTCAACTCTTGAAAATGAAAGCTTTTCACTTTTAAGATCATACACAGAAAATGTGTGTGGCCTTAAAAGTAAAAAGCTGAAAAACAGATGGAAGTGACAGCTAATCCTGGTCTCGTAACTACAACTCCCTAATATCTAGATCCCTAGACAATCTCACATTTCAAAGGAACTTTCCTCTGTCTCTTTCTAGAATACGTAATCAAGTACACATCTAGTATTTTTGGTTCCTTCAAAAAAGAGCTGAAGAGGCCTTTTCCCACAGTTTGGGAAGACTATAGATGGTAGAACAGTCTCATGCTTGGCTTCATTGTCTACAATTGCAGCATGAAACATTCCTATTCACTGTTCCAGTCACCCAGCCATGCCATCCTCAAGTAGACTCCAATCCATCCCCACATCTGCCCTGCTCTCTCTCTCTCTCTCTCTCTCTCTCTCTCTCTCTCTCAATAACCCCTAAGCATTCTGAGCCCACTGAGCAGACTGTCATCACTGGGCTGTTCTAGGGGGATCCTTTCTTGTCTTTAGGCATTTCCCACCAAAAGGATTTTGTACCTCAGCAAGCCCTGGAGTTCCTCCACCAGCCCTATGGTACCTCCCTCTTATGGACCATTTGGGGGTCTTGCTCTCACTCACACAATGGAAATAAAAGAGATTTATGATAAGACTGCTCATGTAACATAGAAGATGGAGCATCCACTTTGGACTGGGGCAAAATGTTTGAAATCCTGATTGGTTGCCTGCTTTATTCATATCAGAGCATTGCGCAATTTAAAATTATGATATATATGAAATACTGCATAGGTAAAAATGAAAAACAAATTAAAATTTCAGAAAAGGAGTATTGGGTTATTTTGCTCTGGGAATGAAGAATTGGCCACCTGTACGTTGTTGCCCAGGGGACACACGAGCATACTCACAATGCTTGCCACTCTTCAGGGAGGCTCCTTCTATATCCTGCTTAGTCATAAAGTTTTCTGAGTTATCTAGTCACTATCTCAGAAGGTCATCATGAAGATTAAAATGAAACAAAACACAGATACACCTTTGTATACAATCTTATGCATCTTGGAGGAATGGTGACATACTGAGCCAAACTGATTGGCATATCATATAGGTGAAATACATTTTGTTTTCTTCTTGGAAATCCAAATCCTGGATAAGAAAGAACCTAAACATCTTCCTCTTTCTAACCATTTGGCATGGTGGACACACTGGTGTCCACTTGGTACAGAACTCAGCTATGAACCAGTCTGAAACACCTGCTCCCTATTGATAAAATGGAAATAAAGGTTGTAATAGATGATAAACTGCTTGGCACAGTATAAGTATATATCCGAACACAAAATTAAATTATCAGTCAATAAACAACGCTCTATCTTTTTCTTCAACAGATAAACTAACGGATTTAAATTTTTAGCTACAAAATATAGCAGAAAACCAGCATTACCATCCTATAAATATTAAACCATTAAAAGATGCAGCACAAATGCAACTGTGCAAAAACAGCAGCAAGAAATGCAACTGAAAGCATTCAAAAGGGCAGACTAACCCCAAAGCAACTTGGAATAAATGGGTTTTCTATGTCAGTTTAAAAATTAGTACTGACAAGGCCATAGCACATCCATCATTTGGGGGCTACAGATATGAGGCCACCACTAAAAAGGTTCTGATTTTAATGCCCTTTGCTAGAATGAACCTCTCAGACAAGACGCAGATAAGACACTTTGAGGTCCACTGTAAAAACACTTTCAGGCAAGAATTATTAGACAATTCCCTCCATATGAAACAAACACACACGCAAAAGAAAAAAATTAAAACATTAAAACATTACATCACCTTAAAAAATGACCATTATACTTCAATGTGAGTTCTGTGGATCAAGTTCACTTTTTCAGATACTGGAGTCAGAATAAATGACTGGTATATTTATACGTAGGCCAAGACATGTGCTTCTATATTGGATATTATTGCTTTGGTAACTACTCTTATGTCCCAAGTCTGAGTCTTTGATGCCAAGTCCCAAGCCTCAAGTCAGAGTCTCTATTAAAAACAAGCTCCCCCCACCCCTGAAAAAAAAAGGGAGAGGTGGTCAGGTTCCAAGTCTGAGTCATTGGGGGGGAAAAACTGAGTTAAGTCTGAGTCAAGTCACCAGTACGACTTAAGTCTGACTTGACAGCTAGTCCCACAACTCAAGTCCCCATCCCTGGAATCTAGCACTGTGTCTTGTCCAGCTGAATGCAGCAGATGCAAACTAACTTCCCTTGATGGTGACTTGAAATCTCCACAATACTGCTGAAACCACACCCTTACCAAAAAGCCTGGGGATTCTTCCAGTTGAGATTTCACCACCCTGTTCCTTTTTTCCAGAAAAATGTGGTAAAGAGAAAAAGATAGAACTTCTGCACAATGTCTTAACTGGCAGCACCAGGAGACATCCTTTTGGAATTTACTGTGGCACACCGAGGTCATGCACTAGTGCTATGTGACCTGCTCATCTCTCGCAAGCTCACCATATTGTTCCAAAGCCCAACTCCTAGAGCAGCACCAGCGAGTCCCTTCCCTGAGGTTTCCGCTGATGTCTTCCTTATGGCAGAGTTCCTTCCAACCCTTTTCTAAAACAGAAATATTTTCAAAAAAAAAATATTACTAAATGTGAGTTTTGCATTTCCTGGCAACCAGACAAATCCAATTTATGACATAGTTGTGACTATAAGGGTAAATTCAGGGCGTGAACATCTTAGTTACTTTGAAACAAATATCAGTTTTGTGCTGCAGTTATTCACCCAGGAAATATCTGACATGAAAAACATGACACCTGGCTGGATGAAACCAAAGGCCTATCTAGTCAGACAGCCGTGTGTTCTTCTCTCTAGCTGCAATGGGGAGGTGTACAGCAAACCATGAGAACATGGAAAGCTAGCGTGTTTGGTTTCAATGCTGTTTAGAAATCCTCCCACTTATAAGAATAAAGCTAGAGAAAATGGCACAGTTAAGTGCTGGAGCACATGCTTTGCATAAAGAAGGTCCCAAGTTCACTCTCAGGCATTTCAATCCAGACAGAGTTGGAAAAGACCTCTCATCTGGACAGCCACGACAGCTAGATATAGACACCACGCCACCACGCCACCACCATCAATCTGACTAGTTTTCCTTACAAGAGCTCAAGGCAAGTAATAGAGTAGAGCAACGGACTGAATTATTTATAAGGCAACTTCTTGTGTTCAAGGTAAAGCTTGAAAGTAATGTGTTGCAAACAGTGATGTTACCCACAATGTGTAAACTTGTGGTGTACAAATGTTAGCCTTGCAAAGTAGTGTATCCCCCAGGAATGTCTTTCTTAAGTGCAATGGGCAATGCTCACCTGCTGCTTCTTCTCACATGTTGTTTTAGTTGCATGGCCCCTTTTGTAAAGTTTTTTTGTTCAAATATATTTACTGAGAAGGAACACTTATTAATGTGATAGCTCATTTCTTCGAGAGCACCGCATTAAAAAGGCACCCCTGTGACATTTTCTGTTACTTTTCAATTTCAATTACTTTTCAGTTTCTTTTATAAAAGTAACAGCTAATGCTAATGTGATATCTTTTTAAAAGAACATAATGTCCTAAGCTTTGGTTGAAGATGAGGAACAGGATGCAGTGTGCTATGTTTTTCATCTCCTTTGTGTGCAGAGCTTAGCTGACTATCTTGTGTTGTTTAATTTCTCAAACCAACAGCACTGCAGTTCATACTCACTGGTATAGGAGTCGTGTTTACTTCATGGAGAGAAGTCTGAAGAACTACAGTGAAATCACTCTTCCGATCATACCTCCCAGACACTAGCAGCTTTTCCAAAGCATCCTAAGCGAAAGGATAAACAAGCAATTCACAGAATAAGCTCTCTTCTATAACCACAGAGAGAATAATACAGTGCAGAGATTTTCCCATGGTATAAATGAAGTTTAACATTTACTTTCACTGCTAATAACCCATGATAATCAAATTAAAGAATCAAAACACAAAAGAAATAATTACACACACAAATCTCTTGGAGAACCACAAGAAATAAGCCAGTGGCTATGACACGAATTGCATTAATTTAATTTTCTCAGAAAGAATAAAGGCATGGTAAAGTAACTTAATCTCACACTAGCCCCTCCATACCCTGAAGAAATCTCAGATGCAAAGAAATTTCAGTAAATTATTGTTCTTGCTATCTCCTAAATGGTTTTCTCAACTTCTAAATACTGTAACCTGATATGCTTTGGTGTTAAAGATAGACTATGCTATCAGTTTATGCTATAAGCCCAGTTCTCCCCATCTCTTCAAGCTCTTACAAAAAGTATTCAGAAACTTGGGCTCATCTCCTAGTTTTGAAGGGCCAGCAGACTCCAAGTTTTCTAGGGGTGTCATTAGAACAAGATGTGGTGTTCAGCCACAAATCTGTTTCCTTAGGGCCCCAGGTACAGTGGGCCCTTGACTTACAAATGGCCTTAGTTGCAAACATTTTGGATTACAAACCCAATCTCATAGGAAACTATAGACCCTACTTGCAAACACGGAATCAAGTTACGAACCAAAAAAAGGGGGGGGGAAGGAAGGAAGATTTCCATCTGCCCTGAAGGATACACTCATTAGGCCCATCAGGAAGAAACCTAGTTTGGCGGCGGACGAAATTGGCAATTACAGGCCCGTCGCCAATGTTTCTTTCTTAAGCAAAGTGGTGGAGAGGGTGGTGGCCGATCAGCTGCAAGCACTCCTGGATGAAACAGATGCCCTGGATCCATTCCAGTCGGGTGGTGTACAAATGTTAGCCTTGCAAAGTAGTGTATCCCCCAGGAATGTCTTTCTTAAGTGCAATGGGCAATGCTCACCTGCTGCTTCTTCTCACATGTTGTTTTAGTTGCATGGCCCCTTTTGTAAAGTTTTTTTGTTCAAATATATTTACTGAGAAGGAACACTTATTAATGTGATAGCTCATTTCTTCGAGAGCACCGCATTAAAAAGGCACCCCTGTGACATTTTCTGTTACTTTTCAATTTCAATTACTTTTCAGTTTCTTTTATAAAAGTAACAGCTAATGCTAATGTGATATCTTTTTAAAAGAACATAATGTCCTAAGCTTTGGTTGAAGACGAGGAACAGGATGCAGTGTGCTATGTTTTTCATCTCCTTTGTGTGCAGAGCTTAGCTGACTATCTTGTGTTGTTTAATTTCTCAAACCAACAGCACTGCAGTTCATACTCACTGGTATAGGAGTCGTGTTTACTTCATGGAGAGAAGTCTGAAGAACTACAGTGAAATCACTCTTCCGATCATACCTCCCAGACACTAGCAGCTTTTCCAAAGCATCCTAAGCGAAAGGATAAACAAGCAATTCACAGAATAAGCTCTCTTCTATAACCACAGAGAGAATAATACAGTGCAGAGATTTTCCCATGGTATAAATGAAGTTTAACATTTACTTTCACTGCTAATAACCCATGATAATCAAATAAAAGAATCAAAACACAAAAGAAATAATTACACACACAAATCTCTTAGAGAACCACAAGAAATAAGCCAGTGGCTATGACACGAATTGCATTAATTTAATTTTCTCAGAAAGAATAAAGGCATGGTAAAGTAACTTAATCTCACACTAGCCCCTCCATACCCTGAAGAAATCTCAGATGCAAAGAAATTTCAGTAAATTATTGTTCTTGCTATCTCCTAAATGGTTTTCTCAACTTCTAAATACTGTAACCTGATATGCTTTGGTGTTAAAGATAGACTATGCTATCAGTCTGGAAGGGGCATCAGATATATATACAGTATAAGCCCAGTTCTCCCCATCTCTTCAAGCTCTTACAAAAAGTATTCAGAAACTTGGGCTCATCTCCTAGTTTTGAAGGGCCAGCAGACTCCAAGTTTTCTAGGGGTGTCATTAGAACAAGATGTGGTGTTCAGCCACAAATCTGTTTCCTTAGGGCCCCAGGTACAGTGGGCCCTTGACTTACAAATGGCCTTAGTTGCAAACATTTTGGATTACAAACCCAATCTCATAGGAAACTATAGACCCTACGTGCAAACACGGAATCAAGTTACGAACCAAAAAAGGGGGGGGGGAAAGGAAGGGGAAAAAAGAAAAAAATCTGCCCCTAGTGGTAGGAACAGATTAAGCAGCTTTGCATTAGTTCCTATGGGAACTAATGAATTGACTTGCAAACCACGCCTCGACTTAAGAACCAAAAACAGCCGGAACGGATTAAATCGTTTTCAATGCATTCCTATGGGAAATGCTGATTCGAGTTACAAACTTTTCGGGTTATGAACGGACTTCCGGAATGGATTAAGTTCGTAAGTCGAGGGCCCGCTGTATGCTCCTCCAAGCCTGACATGTTCATTAGTGCCAATGGAAGGCTTCTGGGTTTCCTCAGCTTAATTAACATGTCTTTCAGGGTTGGAGGAAGAGATTTTTGTACTGCAACCTTCTCAGCTGCTTTCCTTCATGAGGCAAAAAGGGCTTAGAAATAACCTTTCCATGGGTGAAAATAGGATATTTTTGCTAGACTTAATTGGGATGTAGAGGGGTGGGATGTCCAGGGAAGTCAGACAGGGGGAAGAAGAAGGGGCTTCATTTCTACAGGGGAACTACTTCCAAATAATGGGGAATTCTGCTAGAGCAGTGTCCTTGAACCTTAGAGAGACCTTAGAATGCAACCTGAGAAGGTCACAAATAAGAGTGTAGGGCAAGGGACATTGGGACCAAGTGGCCATGCTCCTTCCCACCCCAAAAAATCAGCATCTGATTGACTCAGCTTAGTGCTACTCAGACTTGGAAAAACACTTTAATTTTAAATGGCATAGAGTTGCAACCAATATAGCTACCACAACACATATAACCATGGCCTGGTCAGGAGGTTACCACTGAACTGTTGGGCTGTAGTCTTCTCTGCCATAGGACAGGGACAGGCAGTAATACTGAATTTATTGCTCACCTGAAAGGACCATCTCCATACAATTTCTTCAAGACTGGAACAGTCACTGAAACAATTACACAATTTAGGAAGAATATGCCTAGAAAATATGTAAAACAAAGCAAAAATACATTTGAAATGATGTATCTTTTTCCTTTATGAACACAGAGTCTGTTGCATTAGGAAGCCTTACAGTGTGATTCAAATATGTGTGAGATACTTCCACTTCTCTTTTCAGCCTTTTCCCTGTTGTTTCCGAAGCCTGGTATTCCTAGATATTAAGATATGCATCTACCATTGAAAATGGTAGAATAGAATTGACAGCACAATCCAAACTGCAAAAGTAACACTTTAAAGGGGAGATACCTATCTATAAAGATCATTTTCACACCCAACGAAATCCATAACCCAAAATGTATGCTCCACTCTGGAATCTGACATATGAGTTCAACATTTAATTTCTCAAATCAAATAACTTTCAAATAAGACATCAATGTAAGATGACACTCCCTGATTATGAGAGTAGTGGCAATCTCCCAAAACTGACATTTTAGGTCTAAAAAGTAAAGTTCCTTCTTTCCTTACTACTCTGCGTCCCTGAAAATTGTTACCCCCTAAAACACAAAAATGTAACTTTAACTCAGGGTGTGGCTACACTAGCAGCAGGAAGCAAGCTAGTGTGAGCTGCTTAGGAGTACTCAAGGTTGATTAGAAAGACCTAATCAAGCCTGACCATTGACATGGAAATGGGTCCTGCCAATATTGTGAAGTGGCTTGATAAACAGGCCACTTCAGGACACCAGCAAATTAATCACTTCCCCTGCTCTGCCACCACCATGGATTCAACTGTGGGCAGTTTCTCAACCAGCCCTTTAATGTAAGGAAAACAGAAAAAACATTTTAAAAAAAATGCATAAACCAGCCCTTTAATGTAAGGAAAACAGAAGATTTTTTTTTGAAAAAAAAATGCATAACTGATAAAGTGTATCAGCAATAGTCTACATGTAGTTTAAAAATTTTCTCTTCTCTTGCACTCTGCAGAGCAGGGAAAGTGATTAATTTGCCAATATCCTGAACCGGTTTGCTCATTAAGTGATTAATTTGCCAATATCCAGAAGCGGTTTGCTTATTAACCTACTTCACAATACCTATATTGGTAAATTGAAAGAGAATGGCTTGCTTTGGATCAGTTTCAGCAATCATATGCAAGGGAACCAATGCAAAACAGAGTAATTCTACCTGCACCAGAAAGTAGAAACCCCTTGACAGTGGTCAGAAAAGTGTTGGTAGGAACACTCTGGGAGTGGATGGTTTGCTCCAGCAAAGACACCGTCTGATCGCCATCTTGGAGCGGACAGCAGCCTGTGCCTGCAGTCCCTCCAAACAACAGGCCATGCAAGCAGCTTCTTATTACCTTGTAAGGAAACGGATCCCTTAACCTTCTAAAGCTTAGGAGGAAACAGACTGAATATATCACAAATAATTGCTTGATATGATAAAGAAGCTAGAATTTGTTGATCAATGTGGGGTTGACCTACACTGTGGGGACAAAAAGAAAGTTGGCTAGGAGAAAACTGAGACAAATCAGCTAGGTTTGGAAAAACAGCCGGAGTAGGGTCAGAATTTTCCAGTATACAAGAGCCATGGCAGTCCAGAAGTTTTAATCTTTTGAATTGATTGAGGTCTCAGAAAGCAGTGAAAAAACTGTCACAAACAAACAAACAAACAAACAAAGAAAGAAAGAAAGAAAGAAAGAAAGAAAGAAAGAAAGAAAGAAAGAAAGAAAGAAAGAAAGAAAGAAAGAAAGAAAGAAAGAAAGATTTCAAGTGCTTTACTTACTATACAGCACAGAACGGTTGTTCTAAACATCACAATATGTATCTGGAGAAAAATTGCCAACATACACTCAAGAAAAAAAGAAGAAATTCTTGGTTTGAAAATAGTTAGAAAACTTTTTGATTTACCTGGCATTATGCAAATTGAAGTGAGGAAAGGTCAGCAGAGTAGAATCTACCAGGTTCACAAAGGCTTTAGGTACCTACAACAATGAAAGTTCTATATTAGCAAAATTAGCAATTGTGATTTTGCATCTCTAATTTCAATATCTCTTCCACTAGTGGTGTCCCAAACTATTTTATTACCAGATTAGACTAACATACTGGCAACTGTAAATTTAAATCTATAAACTAGACTAACATACTGGCAACTGTAATTTTAAATCTATGACCTTTGCCGGGAAAGAGACAGGGGGAGTGTGACCCTGTTGATACTCCTGGACCTCTCAGCGGCTTTCGACACCATCGACCACAGTGTCCTTCTGGGTAGACTGACTGGGTTGGGAGTCAGGGGCACCACTTTACATTGGTTCCACTCCTTCCTGGCTGACCATGTCCAGAAGGGAGTGCTAGGGGACAATTGCGCTGCCCCATGGCGTTTATGTCATGAGGTTCCTCAGGGCTCGATACAGTCCCCCATTCTGTTTAACATCTACATGAAACCACTGGGAGAGGTCATCAGGAGGTTTGGGCTGAGGAGTCAGCAATATGCTGACGACACTCAGCTCTACCTCTCGTTTCCACCAATCCAAGTGATGCGGTTTCTGTGCTGAACTCGTGTCTGGACCTGATAATGGACTGGATGAGGGTTAATAAATTGAAACTCAATCCA